TTTTGTGATTTTTCATTTTCTTATTTTCAAGACTAAAATCTTCATCACTTTCACATAAATTGGCTTTTTCTTTGCCTTTTTTCACTTAACATCCAAATCTATTAGTTGCATTATCTACTTTCAAAAGTGAATTTTAATCCCCATTATAGCTTGGTATATCATGTTTTTTTTATGTCAAATAAATTATATAACTATTCTAGTATAACCAAAAGTAGTGCTATATTTGCATATTTAATAATAACTTAAATATTAAAATTAGATTTTTAAATATAACTAATAAACTTATAGGACAAAAGATTATGTTTCCTTCTAAAATTAGTGATAAAATTGCCAAAAAAAATTATCATTTTTTTGTTTAGTCCTAATTTTTTGAATTTTCTTTCAAAAATATTTTCTGGATATTGAGTGGATGTGAGACCCCCTAATTCAAGTTCTTCTTTATTCATGGATGAATAAAACTTTTTTTAAAAAACTAAAATATAACTAAAAACTCATAGAAAAAAATATTATGTTGCCTTTTAAGATTAGTAATATAATTGGTAAGATAATTACCATTTTTAGTCTAATTATTTGGCTTTTATTCCAAAAATATTTTCTTGGGGAATGAAGAGATCTTTCACGCTCCACTTCAAGCTTCTCTTTATTCATGGCTAACCATCTACTTAAAACAAATTCATCTAACACCATTTCAGTAACAATTGCTTGCAAATGAACAATAATTTCTCAAAGAATTCTAAGTTAATTTGAAGTTTTTCAACAAAAAATTGATGTAGACGATGTTTTTCAAAATTAGAGAGCATTATTAAAAAAATCAATAAAATAAATAATGAAAATGGAACAAAATATATACAATCTTGAAAAGACATAAACATTAAGAGAAGCAACCTTTCATAATTGGCATTTATGTACAAAATTGTACAATTAATAAAATGAAAAGACACGACTGTAGAATTGTAACCACTAAATAAATTAGTAGTTATACACAAAAATGTATAATTAATTAAAAATAAAAAATAAATAGAAAGACACAATGGTCCACTTATAGCTTTTATTTTATAGAATTCTAAAGGGTACAAATGAATAGTTGCAATAGTTTAGAATAAACATAATTCCAACAGTTGCAATGGTTTAATAACCATTAACTCAATAGGTACAATGGTTGGTAAAATAACCTTAAACTCAATAGTTGCAATGTTTAATAAATAAACTTAAACTCAAGAGTTGCAGTGATTGGTAAAATAATCATAATCTCTAGAATTGCAATATTTAGAGAAATAACCATAAACTCAATAGTTGCAATGATTCACTTAAAATAGGGTAACATTTAAATTTTCAGCATTCATTTTCCATTAAAATAGAATCATAGATTCACTAAATAAACAATACTCCCTCCGTTTCATAATAAGTGTCGTTTTAGATTTCATTTTTTGTTTTAAAAAGAGTGTCATTCTGCATTTTCAATGTAACTTTTTACTCTTATTTCCTGTTTTATCCCTCATTTAAAGATAATAGTCTTTGTAATTAAATGTTATAAAAGTATATTAACTAGGGGTATATTTGTATATTTTCTTAAATTCTTAATCTGTGTGAAATGTGTCAGAATGACACTTATTATGAAACGGATGGAGTACTAACTAATAACAAACGAAAAGACACAACCATACAATAGCAACCGTTCATAAAATTAGCAGTTATATACAAAAATATATAATTTAAAAAGTATTTAAGAGAAATACACAATAGATCATTCATAGTTTTTCACGGAAAGTTATAATCTAAAAAATTCAAATGAAAATACACAACCTTATAATAATAATTTTTCTTAAAAATAGTTGTTATACATGAAAATGTATAGTTAATAAAAAAAATATGAATAGAAAGACACAATGGTTCAATAATAGTTTTTCATATTGTTCTTCACATATTAAGGTTTTTTGTTCTTCCTAGCCTTTTATTTTGTTTTGAAACTTTTTGTGATTTTTTTGTTCTTTTCCAAACTAAAATCTTCATAATTTTCACATAAATTGGGTTCTTTATTGTCTATTTTTTCAATTCACATTCAAATCTATTAGTTGTGTTAAAGTGCATCTTTAATCATCATTATAGTTTGGTATATCATGTTTTCTGTGTCAAATCAATTATATAATTGTCTCATATTTTCTAGATAATGAGCGGATTGTAGATCCTTCAGTTCAAGTTCTTCTTTATTTATGGCTGAATATATTTTAAAAAAAAAATTAAAATATAACTAAAAAACTCATAAGATAAAATAAAATATTACCTTTTAAGATTAGTGATATAATAGCCAATAGAATTACCATTTTTTGTTTAGTCCAAATTTTTTTGCTTTTGTTCCAAAAATATTTTCTTGAGAAATGAGCAGATTTTTCACCTTTCATTTCAAGTTTTTCTTTATTCATTACTAATCATCTACTAAAAAAAACTTTCTTGTAACACCATTTCTGTAAAAATTTCTTGCAAATGAACAATATTTTTATTACGGAATTTTAAGTTAATTTTAAGGTTATCAACAGTAAATTGATATATAAGATGTTGTTTTTCAAAGTAAGAGAGCATTAAAAGAAAAAAAGTTCAATAAAAGAAATAAAAACAATGAACAAAATATATACAATCTTGAAAAGACATAAGTATTCAGAGAAGCAACCATTGATAATCAGCAGTTATGTACGGAATGGTACAATTAATAAAATAAAATGAAAAGACACAACCGTAAAATTGTAACGTTTGAATAAATTAACAATTATAAATGAAAAGGTACAATAAAAAGACACAATTGTTCAAAGATTCATGAATTATAACATTTGAATAAATTAGCAGTTATAAATGAAAAGGTACAATGGAAAGACACCATGGTTCAGAGATTCATAGTTTTTCATTTTGTTATTATTAATAGATAAATTCTTAAGTCTTTACCTAAAAAATATAAGGTTACTTTTTGCTTTTTGACTTTAAAAATTGAAAATTTAGTTTAACTAATAAAGATGTTATCTTAATTATAAACATTATTTTCTAATTAAATTTTCTATGGTTTTTAGACTTTGACAAAAAAAATCGTCAAAGTAACTAGCTGATCAAAAATAAATCACTCGCCAAATTTTAAAATTGATCAAAAAATAAAATATGATAGCTTTGAATTTATAAATTCTTGATATATTACCTAAAATATAAGATTAGCTTTTTGACTTTATAATTTAGATATTATTTTGTTAATAAAATAATATCGATATTTATTAGCATAAATTTCTATGTTTTTGAAAACTAACTTATATATAGATATATATATATATTTTGTTAATAAAAATATATATATATATATATATTTCAGGCAAATGGATAAGTTCTAACAAGGATTTCTTTTTGGTGATGTGATATTAAGCCTAAGCGTTTACCACCTTTAATTCTATAAAATTTTAAGAAAAATTATTTTTATCAAAACAAAAAACAGAAAACAAAAAAAAAAAATTTTGGTCAAGTTTAAAATACCTTTTTTTTTTGTTTTGTAAACTCAGAGAAACTTTTAGAGCATACACATATTATTTGACTCTTAACCAGAATGAGACTGAAAAGAATTGGAGCTAACACTTGAGCTTCGGCCACTCCTGAGCGTAAGACCATCTCTATCGCAAGGCTCTTAGCAGAATTCTTAATGTTTTTTTTATTAAAATAAATAAAAAATATATTAATAAGTGAAGAAACTAGGTCTTAAAATTTTTGTATAAGAACCGTCTTTTAAGTGGTTCTTAACACACATGGTCTCATTATATTGGTTTGGTTGAAGGAAAAAAAAAGTGGAAGGAAAAAAAAAAGGTGAAGAGAGAGATGAAAAAGGTGGAAAAGAGAAAGAGAAAATTTCTTATTTAAAAATTGATAAAAAAATCCCTTGAGGGGTTTACTAATGGAGATGCACTAAGGGTCTCCAAAGCCTTTTGAATCTCCATGATCATTGCAGTGTCAATGCTTTTGGAAGACAGTTTCTTGTGAGATTTCTAGAGATGAAGCTTCAGAGAACTGCTGCTTAGACCTGCATTCTTACCACAAACCGGACAAACTTTCATCGTCTGTTTTCTCTGTCTCCACTCCATTGATGTCTTCCCGTGATATTTCTTGTCAAAGTTAAGTAAGATCCGGGCAAATCCATCGTTCCGTTGAGCTCGTCTATGAACTTTTCTCAATTTTCTCCATGTTTCTAAAAGTGTCAGGTTCCTGTTTATTAATCCCACCCCAATAAACAAGTGCAATAAACAAGTTAGACTAAAAAGAAAGGAATTTTTGCTAAAAATGACATAAAACTTGATTTTGAATAAAAAAGTAGATCTCTGATGCAACATTTAGCAAAAATAACTTTAAAGGGTATTGAAAAGACAATATAATCCTGTATGACCAAAGAAAAAAATGGATGTCTTAATTACGGTTTAAATCCTAACGAAGTCTACTAGTACACTTCTAATAAAGCTTATGAAGTCTACTATCTAATTAAATCATAAAATTTAAATTTAAAAAAAAAAAATAATATTGGTTTTAAATTTGCATTAATAAATTAAATATTGGTAACCCTAGTGTATATAATTTTTTTTTCTTCATATTCATAAGTTGAAATTTATGATTTCAAATTAAGAAGAGCAAAATATTTGATTTAGTGTTTATATTTAGTAGACTTCAATATGGAAATCTGATAAACCGAATAAATCAATCTTACCAAAAATTTAACTGAAATTGAACCAACAAGAAAATCTACAAAATCAAATAAATTAACTTAACCGATATTTTAAATCGAAATTGAACCAACGAGTTTAAAAGATATTAAACCAAAAATGTTATCCTAACTAAAATTTATTTTTTGTAACCGATGAAAATTAGGTTCCAGAATTTAATCGATTTGTAAACTTAAATTGAACCAAAAAGTTTAACCTACCCAAAACCAAAATAAAAATTAGTTATTTTTAGCCTACTATATAAGTGAACTAACCCAAGAAAACCCTAATTTTATTCCAGAGAGTCTCTCTCTAAAACGGCGCTCTCTATTCTCTCACCATTTTTTTTTCCTTCTCATTCTCTCCGTGAAGCTATAGAAGCATGGGTGCCGTACAAAGCCGTCGTGAAGGAGCTTAAGAAAGAAGATTCAGGCGAGTCCAAGATCTTAAGCCGTCGTGAAGGAGATATTGAAGAAGATGGCTCATTTTAGTCTTTCACCGAATCTCACCGCTCCTCACAGTCTGAGGTAAACCATCGTTACTCCTCTCTTCCTCTTTAAACCCTCTAAAGATCTGTTTGTGTTGTAGATCTGGTTTCTCAGGCTAATACCACACTATTTTCTTTTCCAATCGCTTTATTGTGTCAGCCAAGTGTCACTTATCTCAATTTAGCCTCAGTTATAACTATATTTGCTGTATTTGCAGAAAAGCTTTCACTATATTGGCTACTCAAGGCGGGGATGAGACTCTCACTATACAAAGCAGAGGACTGCGGCTAACAAGAAGTGACTAGCTTTTTGACCATATTCGCAAAAGATTAGAGAAGGTATAGCTTGAATTTGATTTCCATGTTCTGAAATCATGTGATTATGCTAAATTGCTAAATTGATAATCAATTAGTATTCTATGATGTGGAATTTTTTTCTCTCTTTTGTGTTCATTGTGGTCCTTTTTAATAGGTCTTATATGACCAAGTAAGAGAAGAACCCTTGAAGTTAACTCCTAATGATCAAGAAAACTCGCCATTGCATTGTTTTTAGATGTACTTAGATGTACTTTCAATCTAAAATCTGATATTGCATTGTTCAAATAGCTTTGTTGCACAAGAGAGAGTTCTTATTTGGAATTTAAGGAATCTTATATTGTGAATGAGCAGGCAATGGCGTACATGAGTGTAGCTGCAATAGCAGCAGCAGCAGCAGAGTCTGGTCTGATCTGAAACATCTTCTTTTTGTTTGATCATTCCACGCTTAGGATAGGATTATTACAATCAGAAAGCTTGATACCCTTAGCAAGGAACTTAGGTTGCAATTTGTTTTGTCTGAAAATATGTAGTAGATTTTAATATAGTTTTATTGTCTACTGATGTAAGAAATTATATCTCATTGGTTGACTAAACTCTGTTCCATCAGATCTTGTAATCAAAAACTACTTTGTATAGTTAACTTGTGATTTACGATAAAATGTTGTTAATATTCTTTTAAAATTCTGATGTAAACAACAAAAAATAAAGATTTTACACAATACTGTTTTAACAAAAAAAAAAATTTCATCAAAGAGTTCTATTGCTTCTTCTAAAATAAAAGTTCAACAACAATTTTCTTAGAGCCAAGAGAAAATATGTTTGAATCTGGTAGTGAGTAAGTAAGTTAACACCAACTCAGGCTTTTTATCCACCATTTCAGTAAGTTCTCTAAAGGTACAATGTGTACAAAAAAACTGAATTGGTGGAAATTTTTGTAAGCCTACTAAAACAAAAAAAAATTAACTATAATTATAACACCAACATATTAAGTTCATAGTTAGTTTTGTAAGAAAACATAAAAATTCACTTTAACAAACGTAATTACAAATCAGATTATAGCAAACACATAATATCAGTTTTTTTTACATAGATGACTTTGTTTGAAAACTTCGTAAACTGCAGATGAAGTCTACTTTTACAAGCTAAATAGCTTATAAATCAAAAAATCCGATTTCATAATAAATATCGACTTAAATCAAATGAAAATCATTGTGTAGTTCAACCACTTGCTAACACGCATGTCCAAACCTAAAAATTAGAAAAAAAAATGTAAATATTCTTAAAAAGCGTTTTATAAAAATAGATACAAAAAGTAGATTTCCCAATTAGACTTCATCCGTAGACTGATGGAGAAGTCTACTTTGATAAGCTAACTAGCCTAAAAATCAAAAATTCTGATTCCGCAATAAATATCGACTTAAATGAAATGAAAATCAATGAGTAGTTCAATCACTTGCTAACAAAGCAATTCTAAACCAAAAAATTGAAAAAATACTTTATAATTATGCCTAAAATGCGTTTTTAAAATAAATGCAATAAGTAGACTTCTACAACAGACTTCAAACGTAGACTGGAGAAGAAGTCTACTTTTTTTCCTATGGAAGTCTGTGAAAGAAGTCTACTTATTTTTGCAATTGACCAAAACATTGACTTTTCCTTCAGTAGACTTCAAAAGTAGACTTCCGACCAAAAATGTTACTTTTGCATTTGACCGGGTCATTGACTAACAAAGTAGACTTCTATTGTAGACTTCCGGTAAGAGTAAACTTTTCTGACAGTGTATTCTTGAAGTCTACTTTTTCAATAGAAGTCTATAGAAAATTTTAGGTTATTTTTGCAATGACTGTCTTGAGTAGTCTTCACAGGGAAGTCTACTAAAAAAAAAATTCTTTCTAAGTTTGACCGGAAAACTGAAGTAGACTTTAGCAAGAAGTCTATCGTTTGTAGACTTCTTTCTGAAGTCTACTTCAGTTTTCTAGAGTTTTTTTGTATTTTTTATTTTTTTAAAAACTTTAGTCAAACACTAAAATGATCTATACGTTTTTGGTCAAACTACAAAAGTAACTTAATAGTAGATTTCTTGTGCAGACGTAAACAATAGATTTCAGAAAAAAGTCTATATCAAAAAGTCAAAATACGGTCAACTACAAAAATAACCTCTTTTCCTCCATAGACTTCTTGCGACTTCAAACGAAGTCTACTAGGCTTTTTTTGTATTCAAAGGATATCGAGTAGACTTCAGGAGAAGTCTACTGAAGTCTACTAGTTACAAAATTTTTAAAAAGTCAATTGCAAAACTAACCTTATGTTGACTAGTAGACTTCAAAATGAAGTCTACTTTCTCAATACAGATATAGATATTACCAAAATTGAAGTGTATCATTACCTATATCGGTTTTGAGTTTGTTTTTAGGTCTCTCATGCACACAGAACTCTGAATTTCACCCCAAAAAAAAAAACCCAGGTCTGGATTAAGCTGAAATCACCGAAAATGCATAACCTTTGACATTGTAACTCAGTCCAGAAGTTTTGGAGAAGAAATTAGAAAAGAATAAGGAAGGTTATGAGTGTATGAGCTCTCATATTAACTTATTACAACTTTAAAATTGGTTGAGAAGCATTTATTCCATTTTTAGAGTTGTTCATGGTGGTTGAAGGTATTGAAGAAGATAGCATTATCGTAATAAAGAGGGTTTTAGGAGGTCCGATGAAACTTTAGCCAGTATTTAAAAAAAAAAATCAAAATAATAAGTTTATAATGGCATTTTCGTTAATAGCTTAAGAGGGAGGAATACAATTGTGACAAAATGACAAAAGTTAGAGAGAGAAAAAAAGTTGTTATTTTGGTGTTTGACTTTTTTTTTTTAGTTTAAATCTGAAATTCTTCCAAAAAGAAATTATATATATATGGTTAAAATTTCGTATGAATTTGTGTGGGGGGGAGGGTATCTATCTAGTTTAAAATAAGACTAAAAAAAAAATATTTTTCTTTTACAAAAAAGAAAGTGTTATTCAACTGTTTTAATTACATAAAAAAGGAAAAAATATCGATTATAGAAGAAATCGAACGTGCTGATCCAAAATGAAAACATATAAAACTTGACTAGGAACTAAATGAAAATGTTGATAAGATAATTAAAATCGTTTTTACAATGCATGCACGTACTTGATATCTATTTGGTAAGAGAATCAGACTGAAAGAAGTAGGTCAACTGATATCAGACCAGTGCCCTTCTTTCATTTGTATATAAAAAGGTAACGTTCCTTAATCTTACAAGAGTCGCCGCCACCATTTCTCCAAGTTTCTTCACTTATCCCTCCTCGTCGTTTCAGGGTATGGCTTTATACTCTTTTGATACCTTACTTATGAGATTGCAAGATCTATGCATGTGTAGTTATTATAAGGTTTCTGTTAGTAATACTGTGGGTAATAAGATTTGTTTCTTACGAGAATCTTGTGCTGTTTTTTTTTTAAAAAAATGATTTTATATAGCACGAAGTCTTTGCATTTCATAATATAAGATTCGTCACATTTTTAGGTTTTTGTGAGTCAATTACGGTCTTAGATTCTGATTCGTTTTGCAGTTAGATATTAATATTATTATTGGGGATGCTTAATTGTTTTTATGATTTTCCATGCCTTGCCGTTGTTGATTTGAAGTTTGCATGACTTCTATATAGATAAAGGAATCATTTCAATATGATTTTGTTGATTTTCAGTCCATTCATATTGAAATTTACTTTCACCGAACACGGCATACATGTAAATGTTCTTAATACTGAAATCTGCTTTATTATTATTATTTTTTAAAAGGATAAAATCTGCTTATTATTCAATTGTAGGTATTGAAGTTCATCTTGATAATTATTATTTTTATTTCCATATAGATCCCCTTAATCGAAAAAAAACCTAAAAAGAAATGCTTTTCTTAATTACTCCGGATAATTTTCTTCTGCATGTTTTAAGGGCCGTGAAGATGTTATAACAACTCTCTAAAAGAATATCTGTCTCTCCTCTTGAAAGCGTTCTCAATGGCTAAAGACCGTAAAAATGTGTTCAGCGGATGGGAAAATCTGGACACTGACATACTAGTGATGATTTTTAAGTACTTTAGCCTCGATGAGTTGACTTCTGGAGTAGCTCATGTCTGTAGAGGATGGCGTGTGGCTTGTTGCGATCCCATTCTGTGGAACACGCTCGATTTATCACACATGAGAACTAAGTTCTTAAAAGTCTCATGTATGCCATGTTGGTACTTGGTTGGCCACTCTGATAAGGATGTGACTCGGATCTTGAAACTCTCCATGAGTCTTAGCAAGAGAAACACAAAGACCTTGATTTTCCATTACGACTTGTTTCCTAATGATGACATGATTACTTACACCACAAGAAGGTACATTCTTTTTTTTTGTTTTTCCGTCTTATATTGAACAGAAAACTATTATACAATCATATGGCTCTTTTCAGTAGCATGAAACTCAATTTGCAGATTTGGAAATGCAGTATCACCTCCATACATTAATAATACTAGATATATAGATCAATAAATTTCTTCGCTCTCGATATATTTTTGACCTAATTCATATTTTTATCTCTATAAATAAATAAAATTTCGCAGAGTTTTATAGTGCCTTGTGCCAAAAATCACCGTTTAACCGAGCAAGGAATTTTCTTTACTCAATTGTTGCAGGTGTCCAAACTTGAGACGCTTGGTGCTACCATCTTGGGACAGATTAGAAGAGAGGGGTATATGCGATGCAATAAGTTTCTGTAAGAAACTAGAATCACTAACAATGCCAAGCATGCCTAACCCGCATTTTGTCTTCTCGGCGATCCGAGAGAACTGCAAGAAATTTAGAGAGCTCAAGGTAATGGGTCCCATCGATCTCTTCTTCGTCCAGAACCTCGTCTGCCTCCTCCCGAAGCTGAAAGTCCTCAGCCTCAGATGCACCTCCATACGTATAGATGCGCTCACAAAGATCTTGGATAAAATGAAAAGACTCGAAGTTCTCAATGTTTCTCATTCTTACATTGAGGTAAGTGATACGGAGGTTACGGAGGTTCCATGGAGCACGGTAATAGAGAAGGCCTTCAAGTTGAAGCAGTTTGTGGCTTGTAAGGATCCCAAGACTTGCGTCAAGTGTCAGTGGACCGACAAAGATGAAGGAGTCATGAGGTGGAATATGTATGATGAAGGGCTATGGAAAGAAGACGAAATAAGCTCTCTTCATCTCTGAAATTTTACCTTCTCTTTTTTTTATTCTTATTCTTGTCTTTTGGGAACACTTTCTTTTTTTGTTCAATTTGTCTTTTATGAACTCTTTACATGTTTTTTGCTATGGAAGGTACTTTTCTTTTTGGGTTTTTTTTTTTGTATTGTCTTTTGTTTTATAGTCTGGCGTGGGTGGCTGTATTGTGTGTGTATTCTTATCGGCAGGCAAATACAAGTATTTGTCTTTGTACCGAAATTGCTTCTCTTAATACATAGAAGCCCTAACCAGATTTAGGAACATGAATAAAATTTTCTATATTTGGTTTTGTTTTTGTCACTGTATTTTGGGGTTGTTAAACCAAGCTGGCCTGATTGATGATGTTT